GAATTGAATGTCAATTCTTCCTCAATCCAGTGGATTTACATTTGTAAATTTGCGAATTCACTTCAAAAGCAACGAATCTGGACTTATTTCAGTTAAAATTGCCACAGGTCTCAGCTTTTAAGCCTTTATCTTTAATAAAAGCAATTAAAGTCTATGTTAATGTTTCACAATATTGACCACGTAAAAGACAAACTCACCGAGGCAACGAGCACAGCTGCCAGTGGCTGGAGCTTTTATAAACAAAAGCCTTCAATACTTTTACAACTCACTCGATAGTCTAAATATGCAACAGTTGAGTTTGGGTTTAAAAGGCCGCTGAACGCCTCAAAAGTTTTTTGCTTCCCACCGATGTGGGACTGCCCTGGTTTTATCCCAATCCGGTCCAATCCGGACCATGCTCACACCTAATCAACATGATGTGAATGATGTAAATGATCTGATGTTTCATTCTATAAATTCAAAATTTATTGAAATCTGATGAATATTAGATGTTTTTCATCCTATATTTTCAAACATTATTGAAATTTGATGAACATTAGATGTTTGAAATCCAATGTTTGTAACATGACTCTGATGTTATTAACATTGTAATGGGACCTTTCAGTCTATAAGAAAACTTTTAGGACTAAACAGTGTATAAGTTATTAATTTGGGATTTATTGGTGCATCCCCCTTTTATTAGTTTAATATTTTATAATTTTACATAATTTTATATGTTTATACATATTTTAGGTGTTTTTACATATTTTAGTATAAATAATATATTTTAAATATTTTATATTATATATTAAAATTGATTAAATAAAAAATAATTAAAAAAAGAAAAAGAAAAAGTAGAAGAGAAATCAAACTTGCCTCCAAAAAAATAATAAGAAGAGAAATCAAACTTGACTCCAAAAATAATATTAAAAAAAAGAAGAAGAAGAAGAAGAAGAAGAAGAAGAGGAGGAGAAATATAAATATCTAAATTATTTTATTATTTTTGTTTTTGTTTTTGTTTTTGTTGATAATTTTGCCTATAAAAGGTAAGGGAGGGGTTCATGATTTAGACGCGAAGAAAAAAGAGAGCTGGAGAAGCTCAATGTGGAGAGAACCAAAAAAAGAAAAGAAAAGAAAAGAAGAAAGAAAAAAGAAAATAAATTGTTTTCAAAAATTCTTGAGGGAATTGATTTTCAAAAATCAAAAATTGTTTTAATCAACCTTTCTATCTACTGATATATATCACCCAAAATCACATTAAAACTAAAACTTGAAACATCTTACTGAGATTCTAAGCATACACCATAACCGTGAAGGTGTAACGAAGAAAGTTTGATTATAAAAAATTCATCTTTTTCTCTAAAGGTGAATTTTGCAATCTTTTCATTTATTTTCTTGTATTCTCTTTACTATTTTAAATATGTGATATTTAGTTTGTGAAAGTGGAAGGCTCAGTTTCTGTTCCTTAGATTTTGTTTTAGAATATGTGTTTAAATATGTGATATAAAAATGTGATTTCATTGCTCTATTCCAAGGTTTGAGTTCCATGGTATATCATTCTAACCAAAATAAGAAAACAAATCATAATTCAGTCACTGACTCTGAATTTTAATTTAGATTAAAATACACCAAGCAGAGCTGAGCTTATTACAATGAATCAGTAGAGAAATGCCCTGAAACTATATGAATTCATTGAACTACAAAACATAATCCAGTAATGAGTCATCGCCCTGCAATCGTTGATACAGTTACCTCATTTATGGAGAGTTTGTTGTTGCTTTCAAGTCCGAGATGAGATCCCAACAAGCTTTGGAAAGTGAACGTAGTTTGCGTCGGCTGTGGACCTTCTGTCTCACAATTTAGCATGAGGACTACAACATAGTTGGTCTATTTGCAGCGTGATCCTGATGAGATCCAGTGCATGATCCATGAAATCCAATGACCTCTCTTCGTTCCACAATTGCTATGCCTAAAACAATCTACTTTGTCAATATGAGAGTGAAAGAGTCAAAGAGCACATAAAGAGGTCCATCTAGTATTTGAATTGCAAAATGGGGTGAGACAGTACACTTGCATAACCGAGGAGCCTTATGCATTCTTGGCTGCAGAACAGAATTAAGAGAAAGAATAGAAGATAGACAAGACAGACCAACAAAAAGTACTTGTTGGGGTTCTGGAACTAATACCCAAATCACAATCTGAAAGGCAGAGAGGTTCATTGCACAAAGATATAGCAAGCCAAGCTTATGAATGGCAAATAACTAACAGAGACGATCAGCCTGTGTTACATAACAGCGATTTCAAACTTTAATACTAAGACTATACTCCTTGCTATATTTGTTGTGGTCGCTGGAAAATAATACCAACACCGTAACTGTGTCAATTGAAGAAAGCAAAATCAACATACACTAGAAAATATGCCTACACTGGAAACATGAAATTATGGACTTGTTTGGTTTAATAAACATGATTTGTTAAATGGTCATCGCCCTTCAATAAGCGACACAGAGACTGCATTCATGGAACATAATTTGTTGTGTAGTGATAGAAGATCGGTGTCCGACAAGCTTTGAATGGTAAATGTAGGCTGTTTTGGTTGTGGAAGATCCATTTCACTGCTCAGCATGAGAACCACAGCTGACATGGTTGGCCTATCCGTCACGTGGTCCTGAACACAGAGAAGTCCAATATGTATGCATCTCATTACTTCTGACCGGGAACATGAGTAAGCCATTGCTTCATCCATTAACTCTAACTCTAATTCCCTGTTTTTGTTGCACAATTGCCATGCCTAGAATAGTCGATTTATGAAATTAGTTGAACTACATATAATGGTGCTGATTGATAGTGTTTGAAAGCAAGTGAAGGTGAAACCAGTCCACTTACATAACCAAGGAGGTTCAGATACTTTTCATTATAATGTAAACTGGTGTTCCTTGTGCTACTAACAATCTCTAGTAGCAAAACACCAAAGCTAAAGACATCAGACTTCTCTAAAAATAGCCCTCCCATTGCATACTCATGAGACATGTACCCATTGCATTTGATTGGGGAAACGTTATGTTTATGCTTACTTTAGATTATAAGATTTCCAATAAATATATGTATACTAATCTGAAATTAAAAAGGAAGGTAAGGCAACAACAAAAAAAAAAAAAAAAAAAAAAAAAAAAAAAAAAAAAAAAAAACACTATTTACTGAATCACTTATACAGCCTAATCATTTATGCAACCTACTATTCTGCTTTAGTAACTAGGGAGCCTGTAGTTGTGGTGTGCTCCATATCAAACAAATCTCAATCGGTGGAGAAAATAGAATTCAAAATTGAATAGAATCTATTTAAGGAAAGAAAGAATCCTTACAATGTTCCCATCACCCTGTGAGTATTTGCCAACTCTTGCGCTAGTTGAAAAGTTCTTGCCAACCCAAAGTCTGAAATTTTTGGATTCATATCATCATCCAATAGAATATTGCTGGCCTTCAAATCTCTGTGAATAACCCTTAAACAAGAATCACAATGGAGATAAAGAATCCCTCTAGCAATACCCTGAATAATGTTGAAGCGTTTAGCCCAATCAAGCTGCATTCTCTTCTTTGCATCTAATCAGTAGGATGACAGTCAAAAAGATAAATTCATCATGGTCAGTCTTCTCTATACAGTTTACCATCAATTGGACTAAGAAAATAACTAACACAAGTTTTGATATTTCTTTCCTCATTGATAGACAGAGTACCAATAGTCAATGAGCTATTAACAATTGGCAAGAAGCAAGAAGAGTGTAAATTTTGATATTTCTTTTTTTCTGATGCATTCTGTAATGTGCATTTTTTTTCTTTTCTACAAATATAATTTTATTTGGCTGAGGATGGAAATACAGTGTCCAGTTAAGATAGTTAATTGGGGAATATGTCAAATTTGGTTAACTCCTACTTGAAACTACATGGGAGATTAGTTTGTTTAAGAAGAATAACTAGGCATACCAATGGTTTTTCATGGAAAAGCATAGGGATTTCGTCAATGTAATATGTCATTTTTTTTTATATTCATTAATTTTATAAGAAAAAGAAATTGCCAAGTCAAACTAACCGAAGAGAAACATGTCCAAGCTTCTATTTGTCATGTACTCATAAACCAATAACTTCTCTTCCCCATCAATGCAGTAACCCAAGAGCCTAACAAGATTCCTGTGCTGCCATTTGGAGATCAATTTGATCTCATTCTTGAATTCTTCAGCACCTTGTCCTGAATGAATAGAAAGTCTTTTCACTGCTGCTTCTTGCCCACCTTATAGGTTTCCCTGTGGTCCACAAACTTTCTTAGTTACTACATAGATACATGTCACCTGTGCATGCATATTCATAGCATCACAAACTTAAATGAAAAGAATTTGATTACCCAATAAACGGGGCCAAACCCTCCTTTCCCAAGTTTATTTGTGATGCTGAAGTTGTTGGTAGCAACTAATACTTTATCAAAGTCTAACATTGGTAGCTCTGAAGACTCCGAATGTGTTGCGTGGTCTTGTGAAGGATCTCTTAGCATGTCCAGTCTATCACCCCAACCAAAACCTTTTATCCTTTTTCTTCTCTTTACTGATGTTCAAGCCACAGAACAGAAGATCAATTATCCTTTTCATATGTGGCATCAAGCCCAAGAGAATAGAAATATTTAACAAAAACTGATTTTCCAAATTAATAAAGCAAGCTGCTTTCCGAATCAATGGGAGATGTTGAGCATTGTATAGTGTAAATTTCAGGGACAAATAGATATGCCACTGTTGATTTACTCTCTCTATTTATCTATGAATTGGAAAATTGATGGCTACATCTTTAGGGTAACTTTCAAGAAGAAATTAATATTTCACAGTTGAGTTACTAAAACATGAAGTAATCAATGTAACAAACAGTAACTTTTTTACCTCTTTGGTTAGCTCTCCACCTGTGCAAACCAAACATGAAGGCACCCAAGAGGACAACCTCAGAAATTGTCGTAAAGATGATGGTGATTTTTTCTCTTTTCTTATGATCTATACCTGGAAATTAAAGAGAAAATAAAGAATAAATATATATATATCGAAGTACTGGCATAATTAACTTTACCCAGTTCTGAATATGCAAGGTGGAGGAAAAGGTCGTTCCCGTCTGTTGAAAACTGCTGAACATCCACGAGGTCTTCAGCCCAAACCATACATGCAATTCCAGTCACATATGCATATGCCACACAGGAACAGTTACTCACACACCACTATTGGCTACCTGAGTAATCCTGATTGAACAAATATTCAAAATGATCCGGCAGCTTCAACCCACTCAGCTTCCAAAAGCCGTCATTTTGAGCTGTTCCATTTGCTAGTCTGCTAATGTTCTTTTGGCAAAGCAGTTCAGTTCGCCTCACACACCCACCTGTCCAATTTCCTTTGCTCCAATCCTCAGTTGATTTTGGTACAAACCCTTTCAAGCACTCACAAATTGGACACCCATTCTTGTTGCTGCAAACCCCAAAAGGTCCACAAACTCCATAGATGTCACATGGATTCACTACTGCCACCCAACTAACAAACCAGTCATTTTTTTCTTCATCCTAATTCATCGTCTTCAAAGTTCCTGTTGGCGCAAGGACATCCATTACAACATAAGAGATGTTATATGTGCTGAATGTGAGATACGCAGTTCCCTGTTCATTATCCAATATGAGGATGAATCCATTGACATAGCCCTGTCCAATGTTTGGTATACCTATGAATGTCCATCCATCCCATGGACCGTCTCTCCAGTAAGGCTTGGAATTGTTCCAAAGGAAAAGTTGTGGTGGTGTCTCTGGTGTAAGTCCAAGCACAAACTTTCCAGGTGATGGGTCGTTATCGGTCTCCCAGGAAGAGAGGAAATGTTTCTCTCCTATTTTGGTGTTCAGTCCTATCATCATGCCAGCCAAAAAAGTGTCACAGGGATAGTTAAAGCTTTCCCATGTGATAAATCCCGAGACATTATCTTTAAGAACAAAGTCTCCCTTGTCCAAAAGCACTGCAATTGTGTTATTTGACGGGAGAGAGACATTTGTAAACCAGAAAGTGTTCCTCATGCCATCTAATAGTCTCAGAGTTCCATCGCTACCGATTATGAGACTTGAGGCAGAGTCTGTGGCTGGAAGTGGGTTCTCTCTGTTTGCTACCCACACAATTTTGCGGACAGTTATGTTGTTATACCATAGCCCAATGTATAGTTTACTGGAATTACCAGGACTGAAGAAGCCTAACTCAAAAACTTCACCTGCAGAGATGAGAGTTTGACCTACTGAGATAGGTTGGGAGTGAGTTAATGTATCAGTTGCACATTCTGATGGAATCGTCAAGAAATATAGAAGCAATGGGAATGAAAGAAAAGTACAAGCACTTCTGCTTCTGGTACCCATTTTCTGCAGACTAGTGCTTTAGCATTCTACCACAGTTTAGCCTTTTATTGTCCTCGTTCGAAACTCCTACCTTCCACGATTCATCTATTTTCTTCTTTTCCCTTATCATAAGATCAAAGGTAAAATTTCAACAGTACGCAATATGATAATGTATTTAACACACCTACTTAGATGCCTTTATCAGTAGAAAACTATAAAATTGGACTGATTGCATTGTTGTGATAGCTGAATGCAATACAAAATCCAAGGACATCAACTTTTACCACCTCAATGAAAGTCATGTTTCTAAAACCTCTTGCGAACGAAATTTCTGTAGTTTTTGGAAATGAAATCATGGCGGCAGAGGCATTTCTTGAGATCAACTGGACACATTCCCTCGGCTTGGTATCCCCTTTCTTGAGGTCAATGAGCCTCCTCCCTTGAGGGGTATTTTAGCTTAATAAGGTATAAGAATTCCTCCATTGAAAGAAAGAGGAATTCCTGTTCACAGGTCCACCCACTCGTACCCAGGTAGCAGCACTGGCTCAAGAGACCTTGATTGCTCCTCCTGGGCATGGATTGCTGCTTTTAGTCAGTGACAGTGGCCCCTTTATAAGTAAACAAAAATAAAGTATTATTATTCATGACATTGAACGGAAAACAATGGTTTATAAATGATAGAGTCAATTACATTTGACGCCTTGTTTGCTTCAACAACACATAACCACCCCGTAATCCAAATTTCAAGAATATACACATAACACCCTTATTATGCTTTGGACTGATGTGCATAACTAACAGAAACTGTTAAAAGGGACCGACACATGTAACTCAAAAGCTATTGAGACATGCGTAACTATAGAAGAACTGTGTGTAACTACCGTTCATTTTTTTTTTATATTTTAATTTTTCCATTCATTTTCCCCTCAAGTTCAACCGACCGTCATCCCTAGCATCTGACCACAACCACACCACATGGTCACCACTGTTGATATTCTTCAGCCCGAAAATTTCAAAAAACAAAAATGTATCTGAGCTATTTGTGACGATTTATGTTCAGCCAATCTAGAAGCCATTATGTTAACCTTAAATCTCCCCTTGACTTTCAATGGCTAAAACATCTAAACTATGAATAGAATTTTGGGAGACAAAAATCAACCGCTTACACAATATTAAAGGACATTAACAAATAATACCTAATAAACTTCATAAATTAGAAAGATATCAAGTGATTTGCAGAGCTTCATAACAAATACCAGAGAGGCAGTTTGTTTCTGGATGAGATATGGGATGCAAAATATGAACTTTTGCTCTGAATTATATGGCTTTTTAACGTAGTTATGAGCAAAGCAGTGAGTTGAGGATGGAATAAATGTTCAGATCCTCTCACTCTAGGTTTTCTCTCCCTTTGAAATTCTTTCTGTGATTCGTTTTCTTTCTCACTTTCCTCTTTATCTTTGCTGTTTCTATGAGAATCTGGATCCTGAGACGTGTTTTGAGATAGAATTTCCAGAATCGTAGAAGCAGAATTCTATTCTAAAGGTTTCAGAAGCTTAAAACTCAAAGACTGATGAGCTAGGGACTAGTGTTTCCCCTAAATTGTATGAAAGTTGGAACTTTTGAGAGAAATGAGGATCATCAAACAGAGATTGATGAATGAAATGAATCAATGAGAACTTGAGATTATTGACATAATTGAATCGGTTTCTGTTGAAGGAAAAAAAAAAAAAGAACAAGATAATATTGCTATGGAGATTGCCAATGGAGCTGCAGTTAACGATGATACTATCCATAACTCAGAGCAACTGATTACTTGCAAACGGATAACACTCAAAACAATAATATATTTTATGTTTTGTTCTACATGGCTTCAAATCATCAAACAGAGATTGATGAATGAAATGAATCAATGAGAACTTGAGATTATTGACATAATTGAATCGGTTTCTGTTGAAGGAAAAAAAAAAAAAGAACAAGATAATATTGCTATGGAGATTGCCAATGGAGCTGCAGTTAACGATGGTACTATCCATAACTCAGAGCAACTGATTACTTGCAAATGGATAACACTCAAAACAATAATATATTTTATGCTTTGTTCTACATGGCTTCAAAAAAGCTAAAGGGAGAAGAAATATGTGGTCTGATTTGAATTCATTGACCAGTTAATAAATGATCAACGATGGGTGCGACTTGGGGACTATATATAGTGAGGAAATACTCAGAAAGATTTGGTGGGATTGGGATTGATGAAGCTAATGTTCAAGAGTTCAATAATTGACTTGATGAGATTCAGATGGGTGATATGAATGCTATAAGAGATTTTTGTTCACTTGGACAAACAAAAGCAGAGGAGATATCAAAAGCAAACCCTAAGGGTTGGCCAAGTAGTAAAGAGTTGAGAATAAGATCTAAGGTCTCAAATTCTAGTCACCCTAAGGGACGACTAGAGGTTTGCCAGGTCATTAACTTCAGGGTCTCTAAATTCGTCAAGATGCGCGCAAGTTGGCCTGAACACTTGATTATCAAAAAATATATAGAGAGAGCAAGCTAGAAAGGTTACTAATTATGATTAATGGAGCCTTAGAGGGATATTCTAAAGGTGAAAGGAGTCTGAGACAAGGGGATCCAAATTTCCCACTCTATCTTTCTTTTAGTAATGGAAGGATTTAATGCTTTAGTGCAATGGAGAATTAGCAACGGCAGATTTAGAGCTGGATTTATCTCATGTGGCATTTGCAAATGATTTGTTAATCTTATGTGGAGTTGATACTCAGTCTTAAATGGATTCATACATACATTTATAAAACATCACAGCTTAAGTGGGCACTACCTAATTACTCTGCCTCGACTATCAGGAAAACATTTATGCTCAGAGATTTAGAAGTGACCTAGACCACGAAACAAAGAATAAACCACATAGGCCATGTTTATTTCGGCGGACATGCCCTTGGGATTGGACTAATAATCCCACCAAATGTGTAATCTAATATTTGGCAAAGAAAACTGTGGTAAAAAATTGTCTCCAATCCTTTCATCAAATGTTCATCAAATAAAGGAGTCATTTTTTTCCCCTCAAATTGAGAACTCATCAAATCTTTTATCAAATTTGAATTTGATGAAAACTTAAAAAGATGGAGGCATTGGATGAGTTGTTTTCATCAAATTTAATGAAAAGTGAAATTAGGGATGAGCCTAGCCCTTTTTGAAAAGATTTTGATAAAAATTTGATGAAATGATTGGAGTAGTTCATGTCAAATCCAGTTTTACTCAAATTTAGAATGAATGATTAAAGATGGTCTAACAATAACAAGCATGGCTATAGATTGTTGTCAAATACTCCAAAATTCCCTGAAACTACTGAATAATATGTACCTGGTAGAGGGTGGTTTGGTGTTATTCAGAAAGAACCAAAACTTCCTGGGGAGACATGAATGAGTCACATGGTGTGCAAGATTGTTTGGCTTAAGCTATGCTGCCATGGAAAATCTCATATGTCTCGTAATCACTTGTTCTTCTCAATGCCCTTTTTCTACAGTGATTCACAAAGAGATTTTGTGCAATTTACAGAGCTAACATCAACAGTGGGACAGTGAAAATCTCATATCATCTCTCTCTCTCCTCCAGCAGATGTGTATTGTGGTAGCTTCTATTCTGCACACGCTTTTTCACAGTTTCACACCACCATTTGTTACGATCGCGAAATTTTTGACGAAAATCATGTCGAAGGTTCTTTTTTGGTCCGCTGGTTGGTTGATCCGAAGCTTTTTCGGTTGTTGGGTGACAACTTTCAAATGTTCCTGGATATACATTTTCGTTTTTTTTGTATCTTTTTCGTTTTTTTTTTTTTTCCCCGGTTGTTGTGGTTTTGGAAATTACCTATTTTAGGTCACGTTTGGTAAGATAGTTGAGACTAATTTAATCTACTAAAAATAAAATAGATTAAAAAGTCAATAAAATAAAATTTTAGATTCAAGCCTCGTTTGATAATATATTATTTTAGTAATTTTTTGATTAAATTATGAGGTAAAAAAAATTAATATGTTTAAGGTGACTTTTTATGAAAAGATATGAAAAAGTAGAGAGAAAAATGAATTTTTAACTTTTTGGTATATGTTATTTGGCTTTTTGATTTTTTAGTGACATTTTAAGTTTTAAACCAAAAAAGATTGAGTTGTCAAACGTGACCTCAAATCATAATCATTTTATTTTTTCTTTCACAAAATTATAAAAAGCCAAAAGTTCATCACAAATAGAACTTTTTTAATCAGACTAAAATAGCCAACTAATTAAAAGGTCAGGCTAAAAAAGTTCTTCCCAAACGAAGATTTAATTATTATTTTTTAACTTTTTACAAATTTGTAGAAAAATAGATAGAAGAATTAATTTTTTAACAGCGATTTTTTATTATTTTAGGTTGTTCCCTAACTTGATATGTTATTCTTTTTGTAAACTCTTATAATTTGTTAATAATGTTAGTAACACTAATTAGTGTAGCAATTAACACATTAACTAAACATATATTAGATAGTATTATATTATGTGATAAAATCTATATGTATGTTTTGTGTCTTACTTAGGCCTCGTTTGGCAAGTGACTTTTTTAGCTAAAAAGTTAAAAAGTTACTAAAAAAAAATCAAAAAATCAACAACCCATACCAAAAAGTCAAAGATTCCATTTTCTTTCTACTTTTTGCACATCTTTTCATAAAAAGCCAAAAAATCATCTCAAACATATTAATTTTTTTTACATCACGTTTTAGCCAAAAAATCAAAAAGTTACTAAAAAAACATGTTCTCAAACAACACCAAGGATCCTCTAGAGTGAAATTTTCCTAAAGTTTCCTAGAGTGCTACATTGTATGGTTGAGATTTACTGGCAAGTCACATCAGAAAAATTGATATGACTTGCCAGTAAATCTCAACCACATAATGTAGCACTCTAGGAAATTTTAGGGAAAAATCACTTTAGAGGATCCTTGCTCCTCAAACAAGGCCTTAGTGTGTTAATTAGTACACTAAGGCCAAGTTTGGGAAGACTAAAAAAGTGCACTTTTTGTCTTTTTGGACTAAAAAATTGAGGTTGAAAATATGGATGTTTGGGTTAACTTTTTGACTTTTTATTGAAAAATGTGTAATAAAAAATTGTAAAAATTGATTTGTAGGGAAAAATTTGAATTGAGAGTTGTGCAGCCGTAATTGTTGACTTTTGATGAATAGTGTTAACTTTCAAAGTTGCTGCCGTACTTCTCATGAAAAACAATACACACCAAAATTATATTGTGGATCTAGAGTTTATTATCAAATCCTAATTGTTATCAAATTGGATTGGGTCTCCTCAAATATAATATATAAAAATATATTATACCTAAATCAAGTTAAATTGAAACTCTTTTAATAAATCAATTGGGTCCCACACTCCAATAAGGAGGTATACCCAACATTTCTAAAAATAATTTTTTTCTTTATTTATTTATTTATGATATTCTGCGACAGTGACTACCCTCCATCCATCCTCTTCTCATTGACTTAGCCTAGTGTAGAAAAAGACTTGGGATAGAAAGAGAGGAAAAAAAAGTAGTAATATGTGGGGTATTATATCAAATTTTTTTAGATCTTATTTCTAACATTAGAAATTTCGAATAGGTCAAATCATACTTTTGCATCATTTGTTTTGGTGAAAAATACTTTCGCTCCGTTTATTTTAGTGAAAAATTTTTTCTATATAAATTTTTTTTTGCTTGGAAAAAAGGCTTTTACAAAAAAATGTTTTCTATGTTTAGTTGCAATTCTAAAACTGATATGTTAGTGATTTTAATAGTGATGGTGTTGTGACAGTGGCAATGGCGACAAGAAGTGGCACTTGTGATTTATGTTACACGAACTTTTCAAAATAAATCAAATATCTGTGTCGGACACCTGATACTCGAACAAGTGTATAAGATATGTGTTGGATATTTTTCAACAAATACTTCTTATATAATTGTATATAAAACTATTATCTATACATATTGTTATATAATTGCTATAAATGTCTTTGAGTTGGCTCGAACGGCTCGACAGCCCAAAACGACGTCGTTTTGGGCTGTTTTTTTTTTTTTTCCTTCTTCTTCTTCGTCGTGCTGGTCTGAAACCAGAGGGAGAGGAGAGGGAGAGGGAGAGAGAGAAAGAAAGAGAGAGAAAGAGAGAGGAGGCAGGTCGTCCGTCGCAGCCCTCCACCGTCGCCTCTGCCCGATCGTCACAGCCCCGCATCGGCCGATCGTCGTCGCAGCCTCCGCGCCTCCGCCCCTCCTCCGCTTTCGCCCCCCGCCTCCGCCTCCACCCCGATATGTTGGCCCCCTCCAATCCCTCCTCCTCCTCCTCCTCCTCCTCCCTCCTTCCCCCTCCTCCTTCCTTCTCTTCTCCTTCTCTGCTTCTAATTCGAGCCAATTTCAAGCTCCACCTTTCGAGCTATGTAGCACCACCGTACATTATGGTTGTGTTAGCTGCATTTGTTACGTAAGCAATGGTGATTTCACGTGAGAGACATTCATTATTTATTGATTTATGAATCAAGTATGTTAAATCTATTCTTATCTAGATCATGCTCTCTATTTGTGAACTGTGAGGCTCGACTTGCCATGTCATTGTATATCCACTTAATCTCATGTAAGAAATAACTATCCTAATTAGAAAATATGATTTATTATTATTATTATGCCATTGGACCTAATAGGGATTTGTGCTTAATAAATGTGAGTGATAAAATAAATTTAACAAATATATTTTGACAGCACCTCAATGTTAACTTAGTTTTCAGTCCAAATCGCATGATTCTCATGTGTATATTTTTTTAACTAAAGAAGGAGGATTATATGTTTTTGGGTATCCAAGTTAAATAAATAAGGAAAATTACATCTCGGTGAAAAAAATATAAAAAAATTTAACATGGAGGATAATTTTTCACTTGTGCCCCACTACATGATCACTTTCACTCCACATTTTTTTGTAACTTTTGTTTTTTGTTTTATTGTGCTGTAATTCTCCAAATAAATAATAGAGAAATGTTATTTATTGCTGTATTTATTTTATGAGAAAGTAATTAATTTTTATTTTACTTTTTGTGTATTCATATACTAAACTGAGAAGTCAAATAACAAGTAAAAAATTTGAATAAAATATTTAAATAATATAAATAATAATATTAAATGTAGAAAAATAAAATACAGAACAACGAAAGTCATCATTCTAAAACCTAATCATGGATTTTTTTCAACTAAAATGGGAACCAATTGGACAAAATTTAAGTATTATTATACACTGAAAATAACCATAGTTTTACATAAATTATATTATTTTGTTGTCTCTACTGGCCATATCCTTGACATGTGGTCCTAAAAACAAACAACTAATTATTGTCACTTAGCACGTATGCGAATTTACAAAGTCCTAAGGGCTTGTTTGATAACAGGTTAATTTAGTAATTTTTTGGTTATTTAGTTAAAAATTAGGTAAAAAAAATTTGTATGTTTGGGATGACTTTTTGGCTAATTACGAAAAGATATGCAAAAAAATAGAGAGAAAAGAGAATCTTTGACTTTATAGTATGAGTTGTTGACTTTTTGACTAATTTAATAACTTTTGGCTAATTAACTAAAAAAGTAAATCCCCAAACGAGGCCTAAATTTTATGTTGCAACGTCAGGTAGACAATTAAAATATCCATTCTTTAACATATGAAGTCTTAATCAATATTTAAAATACTTCCTCACTCCCAAAATTCAAACGCCCAACTTCTCCACTCCTTTTTTTCTCTCTTTCTATTGTTTTATTTTTAAATTTTGTTTATCTGTGATTAATACGTCAACTCCTTCAACATTAATTTCAAACAATTATTCCTATTGAATATTAATTTTTTATGTACAATTAAATAGAAAGACTTTAAGCTTCTTTTAATATTTTCATTCTCTCCAATAATTATATTAAAACTTGGTTAAAAATTAATTTTCGAGCAGTAATGTAATACTATATTCTAAGGTATAGAACAACAAGCAAACTTAAGTAAAAAAGAATTTTTAGAATCTTATAAAACATGATTTAATAGCGGTGCGGGTCGGTGCGGTTTGGAAGAAAAATAGAAACCGGCGGATTGATAAAAGTGTCACTAGAATTTGTCATTTTTCTTACTAAAAACTGACGGTTCGATTGGCAAATAATAACGAATTTGCCTTAGCGGTGCGGTTTTGGCGGTTTCGACGGTTTTGACGGTATTATGCACACCCCTAATTACCACCATCAACATCCCACCACCTCCCTTTCATTATTATCATCACTGCTATAACCACGACCATTATTATTGTATGACAGCTACTATACTACCATCACCTCATTAATTATAAATTTCTTTGTCCAACATCTCTTAAATTTTTAAATACAATTAACATACAGTGGAGAAATGGTTTGGAAATACTCTTTGAATCCAGTAGAACGCTCGTGATCATCAGCTAGCCATTTGAAAAGGAATGAACACTTCGGTCGGGGGTGCCAGAGTTAGCACTCCGACGGATAAGTCAGTGTATACTTTTTAGGTTGCTTATATCTCAAGTTAAACTTACTTGTTCTCACATACCTCTCTTTGGTTGATGTTCCTCTATTTATATTTTCTTCTGGGCCTCAGGGTCGGGTCCACCTTTAATTCATCGTACAATTATTTATTCGTTTCCTTCTATTGCAGACCAATCTCCACTTGGCTCCTCGCTCAAACTTGTTCTATGACCAATTAAGATACTTCTAAATTTATATAAGATGGGGTCGAATGCAATGTATATATCTCGGTTCTCTAAGTTTAGTATTCGGCCTATTTTC